TGCGCTGACATGTGCTCGTTAGGCTGCAACAGAGTTGTTGTATTCTAGACGGAGCTCTTCGAGAGGCGTTTTCAGAACAGGAAGGCTTTGACTTTTTTTGTGCCACCTTTAATTCTTTCCTTTTGGGGGGTGAGCCGGGAGAGCCGCTTGGGGGGGTCATCATTGCCGGCTGGTTGGTATTGATGCATTCTGGTATACAGTATTTACCTTCAATCACATCCCTGGAAAGAAAGAACAGTAAACGAGAAGGCATGAACTTCACTATTCCGTACGTCTCCCCGGGCCCCAAATTTTAAAGCAAGATACTTCTTTGCAACAGTTAAACACGGTCTCTGCACCACACAGTCGTCGTGAGTCGACACGTTCATGCAGTATAGATGGCCACTTGCAAACCTAATAATTTCATTTTAAGCAGGTACACTGAATGGGGAATGTTCATAGATCGTTCAACCACTGAACACTACACAGTGTAATGGTATTGCGTTAAAAGTGGCCTGCGGTGAAAACGAAACGTACCAATCAACTGCCGAAGGCACGGCAGCAGTAACAGAAACTTCAAAAGCCCAAATAGCAGACTAGTGTATTGAATAACAACGCTGTCAGGGCGTACGTCAGCAGTAAGCAATCAACTACTGGACGCGCCAAAACGCGGGAAGTATTGTGGCATAGAGCTGCGAAACGAAAATCCCTAGCAGACACCACGGACGACTCACGTGAACAGGCAAAACAAACGTGATGCGCCTTGCGATTCCGCCGATTGGGCTCTTACACAGTTGCAATCGACGGCAATATTGTACCATGTTGTGCTACTAATTTAAATAAAAATACCGTTGTGTAAACGTTAGGTTTACTGGCATCACAGTTTTAAAACTTTTGTTGTTATTGAGTTAAGACCCACAAGCAGATAATAAAGAAATTGCGTTGCGCGGGAAGTTTGAGCGTGTTTCGAGTGGGAAAGATTGGAAAGAGCACACACATGTTCCCATTGCATCCATTTCACACTTAAAATAATCTTTATACGCACTGATGCAAACAAGAAAACCACGCTATCACGTTCAGTCGCCAACTTTTTTCACATATTCATAACCTAAATTGTTTAGCTTAGGGTCGCCGTAGTTATTGAAAAATTGATCTTTATTGTGATTTTTTTTTTTGTGCGCCACACGCAAAAGCACACCCACCGCTGATATAGCGATGTGACTGACGCTACTCTATTGGTTTCGTAACTTCCAATTTCACCCGGGTAAAATTGTGGTACTGGGCCAACGGTCATGTTTATTCTAATCAGTGTTGCTTTCAAATGTACCAACTGATTAGAACGGAAAAAATGCAATGTTTGCATCATGTGTTTTTATCTGAAGCAGTTTGAAATTCACCCCTCTGTTGTAGCCAGCTGTCATACAGAAGACGCAAATAGAAAAAAGCATGTGCTCTCTGACTCATAAGAAGCTAAAAAAAGCACAACATAAAAATAGAGATTGATAAGCCTCATAGAAAACATGAAAATGGGAAGATAATTGAAATAAAAATGACGAGAACTGTGTTGTTATTTCAAATGTTGCATATGGGATTGAAAATTTTATGTGCTATTCAACACAAAACATCCCAGGCATTTCGGCGACCATCTCAAATGTACTGAAAAAAATTGTGCTTATTTCTCGGATTGACAACAGCGCATCGGGAGAATGTTGCGAAGAGGAAAAAAATTTGGACATATAGAATCATTTCTAGCTTCACAGAATGTCGTCCGAGGGTTGATTATCAGAATATTTATTCTTCGAGTACTGTTGCTTGTTTCAATACGAAATTCGGTTTACGTACTGAGTAAAAGCGGATGTATGAGTCCTTAGCGCACCCAGGATTTCTCGCTGGTGGGGGGAGGTTGGAATACTAAATTACCAGATACTTGATAAATATTTTAATAAATATATTACCTGCAATAGTTAATATATTATCATTATCATTATTGTTGTTCTTGTTCTTGTTCTTGTTGTTGTGGTTGTGGTTGTGGCTGTGGCTGTGGCTGTGGCTGGCTAGCTGGTCGGTCTGTCGGTCGGTTGGTCGGTCGGTCGGTCGGTCGGTCGGTCGGTCGGTCGGTCGGTTGGTTGGTTGGTTGGTTGGTTGCGAAACTTTATTGTGGTCCTGCAAGGGGTGCGTTAGCACGCAGTGGGCGACTCCCACTTCGGGACCGTTAAGGGGCGTTTACACTAGAGAGACACGACACCGATTTTGGTCCGCGAACTGTCTTTCGGAGTGTCTTTTCTCTTGTCGTCGGCCTATGCACACGGCAAAGACACAAGCAATGCGCCGATGGTCTCTCGAAGGCTCCGCCCGCGACTTCTCGTGTTGACAGTCTTTCGTTGGCCAATTCCTTCGGGTCATGTCAGTGTCGTGTCGCTCTAGTGTAAACGTGCCTTTAAAGGCGCGTTTACACTACTAGAGCGACATGACCTTAACATGATCCCGCCGGAGACACGAGGCAGGCGCAAACCATCGGTTGACGAGTCGCCTGCCGACGAAGGCGCCAGACCCTCTGTTCACACTAGGCCGACGACGACGACGACGCCTCAAAAGACAGCATGTCGTCGTAGTGTAACATGATGAGAGACCGAAAACCCTATGGGGACTCGCTCGCTGGATTCCTTGCCGACCGGTTGTGCCCTCGCGATCTCTGACGTTAGCGTAACTCTGGTCGACAGGGCTGGCCCTACGTCATCTCCTGGCGCCGATCTCTGACGACAGCGTTGCTCTGACCTACTGGACTTGCCCTACGCCATTTCCTGACGCCGACAAGAGCTCTCGCAAGTGGTGCGCCGTCCTCGGAATCCTGTGACCGTGTTTCCATCCTTGCTATCTCTCTTATCCCTCGATGTGTCTTCGCTCTCTGTCCCAGCGCATCTTTCTCTATATATATACTTTTAATCCTATCCTTTTAATCCCTCCTCACCCCCATCCCTTGCGAGCTACTGTTGAGGTGTCGCACCCTGATGCAGACAGTTAGAGGGCTCACTTTTCTTTTTTTCCTCCTCTTATAAGCAGCCCCTCCAACTCCAGCAAAACGCATCCGTAGACCTGTCGTCCGCGTGTCGTCGGGAGATCGGCGGCTGAGCGAAAATTCGCCCCATGTCTTTGCTTCAAACGATCACGAAAGGGGTAATCTTAGGGGAGATAAGAACGCCCTCTCAAAGGCTTCCACGGTGTCTGAATAGGTATTTAGAGAGCCAACCCAGGTCTTTTGTTCGCTTCCCTATTGTGGCCACCACCCCCGTCCCTGGTTACCATGGATTATAGCGGGGGCAGTGCGGTGCGTGTAGCCCGAGGGAGACAATGGTAGAGCAGGGAGCATGCCTGAAGTTTTTTTCTCTGCTAACTTTTTGTGTGCTTTCCTGTGCCTGAGGGGTGGTGGGGAAGCCGCTGCGTACCCCGAGATAGACAGTTCCACAGGTAGGGCAGATGAGCGAAAAGGAGAAGAAAAACGTGGTTTCCAATTGGCAGTGAGCCATAAAAGATGGATCTTCACAACTAAGTAGAAGTTGAGCTTGATAGAATAACGCGCATCATTTTCTATTTACACTGACTACTTGTCATGCATTGATAGCTGCCGCGAACATCTTTATTTGCGTATGGCTGCATCTTACATCGCAATATAGCTCATCTCTCGAATATTTTTATCCGTTTTTGGAAGATCTCACCATTAGGTTTTGATAAGCACGGACTGCTGGGCGATTTGGTAATTCTTCTTAACAGAGTTGCGCGGAAAAAATGAAGTACAAAGGAAAGAAGTCTTTATTGAAGTAAACAGACTTATATACGTGGTTACGAGAACATGTGCAGTGAAAGCAAAGATTAAATGAGCAGTCAGATTGTATCAATGGTACACCTCCAGAAAACCTACCTCAGCGACAAGTAACATAACGGAGGGCTTCGCGATACACGAATCACCAGCTTTGTGTTGATGAAATACGCCTCTTCAAGTTCCCACGCTACCTTTTCCCTCAATCTAGTTTGGACTACCTTATCACCAAACAAAGTAGCGCAGCTGCACTCTCTAGAATGCAATGATAGGTCAGAGCATGGTTGTCCGGTTTTTTTTTCACGCAACTCAGTTAGGAAGGCCAAGTTTTGATGTCGTATGTGGCACTAAAGTGCAAAACAGAAATAATTGCCCAACTTATCACCAGATTGTGTATCGTCGTACCGATACCTGGAAGAACGTTACTAGTTAGTCGCTAAAGCTCTTCTTATATACGAGTTGCAGTAACATAACCCAGTGTAGGACCCCAAGAATGAGACTCATATACTTCGCAGAGACAAATAAAAATCACTCAGCCCGTTTACCCTACCTACTTTGACCACTTTAGGTTCCATCTTTGTTTATTCGCCGCCATACACACATCCCACTGCTTAAACGCAAACATTCGACACTGTGACAGCATCGGCTTTTTTTAAATTTTCCCCCAAACGAGCATAGTTGGGCATAACTTACCCGCATGAACGCAACACCGATAACTTTAAAGCCGCACTTTCAGGAGTTGCCGAAACGATGCGGGTCTGTTGAAAGCCATCCAAATATAAGCCAATTCATCACAGCCGGGTGGCTGCCCCACTTCACCTTCAGTGTCTTCCCCCTTCTCCTAATCTCTACCACCCCACCACCACGCGAGTCTGCTCAGTGTCGCCGCATGCGCTTCCCGTGTGACCAAAGTATCGGCAGACAACAGGCCGCGAGCACAGAGAGACGCCGACCAGGCATGCCGTTGACAATTGGCAGGCTATTGGCATCATTGTAGTGTGAGTGGAACGAACATATGACAAAAGACTCGAACACAATCGGCAGGCCCAAATCGGTGCCGTGTCTCGCTAGTGTAAACGCGCCTTAAGCCAAGCCTATCGGCCTTGGCCGATTTTCTCGAAAACCTTGAGAGTGCCAAGAAACTGTACGATGAAGCAGTGCACGTAGCAAATAAATGGCAAACCGAATAAAACACAGCGTAGCATATGGTTCCCAACAGAGATGTCTTGCAAATAGTTATTTTTTAGCTGGTCCGCTCCATTCAGTGAATATGGTGCTGACGTGTCGGCCGGTGGGTGGTCAAACAATGCTGTATAAAAAGGATATAATTTCTATGATAGAGAACAAATAGAACGCAAGAAAGGCCCACGACGGCACCTGGCGTAGTGTGTCTTTCATGTATCCCATTGATTGTGTATTTTGGGTTTT